TTTGGAGGGGATTGGAACACTTGAATCACATGATATGGAGGGGATTGTAACACCTGAATCACATGATGTGGAGGGGATTGGAACACTTGAATCACATGATATGGAGGGCGGGGGACAATACTTTAGGCAATACACACAATATATACTGTATATATATCTCCATACTTTTGCATTGCTTTTATTAGCATCACTAACATACACATCACCAGACATGTACATGCCAGAAATTTTTCTGTAGTTTTGGATGCATTCGTTCATTGAAGAATCTCGGTTCATCACATTTCTTATTCGTTTTCAGAATTCATTATATCTCTTCAGTATTCGATCCATATATTCAATGGTCCGGGTGGACCATTGAATTTGAAATAATAATTATTTGAAATAATTAGCAGGTTTTTCGGAAGATTTCTATATATTAGTTTGAGAATTCGATATTTCAGGTGGATTCAATATCATAATCCACTCGATATCTGAATCGTCGAACGAATTAAAAAATTGAATTCATTTCCCCATGGGCCCAAACTACTATCACATCATGTGACGTCATCCAAATGAAACAAATGCATTTGTTAATTTCACCGTAACTATTTTCAGATTCATTGTCATATGCTACTACATCCATTCGGAGATTCAGATAGGCCCGAATCTCCAAAAATCTAAATTTCGTCCAAAAAATGTATCGAAAACAAAATGCACATGTGTACACGTTTCTCATTCTTTTATTGTCACACACTTATTATACCTCAGATCAAATCCCCACCCCCCATTCTTGGAGACCATTTATTAGAAAGCAATGGTTTATTAGAAAAATAAGTACAATTTCCAAAGTAGTCCAAAAACCAATACAGTTTGAAGCATACGTTACATTACCCTCAAAGTGAAGAATAGGTCCACCTGAACCGAATCCAGTGACAACTACGTGACAATGGTGAACATTGGAGTATACAGCAAAAAAAACAAACAAAACAACCAACCAAGTCAAGCATTCCAAAATTATCCTCAGCTCTTCAGATAAGAATTCTATCAATAACTAAATCAATGGGGCTCAACCACTGGACCTTTCATATGGTGTCCAGTATCTCCTCTCATTTGTTGGGAACATGACGTTATATTGAGGAATGGAGATGGCCCTTTCATATGGTGTCCAGTATCTCCTCCTCATTTGTTGGGAATGTGACGTTATATTGAGGAATGGAGATGGACCTTTCATATGGTGTCCAGTATCTCCTCATTTGTTGGGAACATGACGTTATATTGAGGAATGGAGATGGACCTTTCATATGGTGTCCAGTATCTCCTCCTCATTTGTTGGGAATGTGACGTTATATTGAGGAATGGAGATGGACCTTTCATATGGTGTCCAGTATCTCCTCATTTGTTGGGAACATGACGTTATATTGAGGAATGGAGATGGACCTTCATATGGTGTCCAGTATCTCCTCCTCATTTGTTGGGAACATGATGTTATATTGAGGAATGGAGATGGACCTTTCATATGGTATCCAGTATCTCCTCATTTGTTGGGAACATGACGTTATATTGAGGAATGGAGATGGACCTTTCATATGGTGTCCAGTATCTCCTCCTGATTTGTTGGGAACATGACGTTATATTGAGGAAAGAGATGGACCTTCCATATGGTGTACAGCATTTGTTGGGAACATTGGGTAGTGTGGTAAATTGAAAGATTCCTTTCTTTTGGGGAGGACTGGAGATCTGTATATCACATTATGTACAATACCTTCGCCGCTGTTGTATGGACTGTTGGAACGTGTGGTAGGCTCATCAATGATATTTTTCCTGTCAACAGTTCAGTTTTCATAACCTTTTCCTTACTGGATGATGTAAAGTTCTCTGTCGGGATTCAGGGCAGCACGGACTGTGTTTTTTTGGAGGAAATAGGGTTTACCTCCTGTATACAGAAAGGATTCTTTGATGGAAGAGCTGTAGAATATAATTCTACAGAAAATGGTTTGAACTGACTTTGTATCTTACTTCACTACATCAGTGAATTTTGTGGTTTCCAACCAGGCTTTCTTTCCAAGAAAAACATTTTCCGCACTCTGATCATGAAAAAGATATTCACCCTGATGAATTGTGAAAGAAACCTTTCCCACACTCAAAACAGAAAGCTAGACTCTAGTCCATGTAAATTTTCCTGTTTGTCGAAAGGTCTCTTTTCTGCATGAAACATTTCCCCCACTCAACAATTGAAAGAATGCTCACCTGTGTGACTTTTCTGATGTATACGAAATGTTGTTTTCTCATTGAAACGTTTCCCACACTTGGATTAGGAAATAGGATGCTCATGCGTATGAATTCTCTGGTGTCTAAGAAGGCCTCCTTTCTCTGTGAAATGTTTCCCGCACTCTGAACAGGAAAAAGGACGCTCACCTGTGTGAATTCTATGGTGTATTAAGAGGATTCTTTTCTCAGTGAAACATTTTCCGCATTCAGAACAGGAAAAAGGACGCTCCTGTGTATGAATTCTCTGGTGTCTAAGAAGTTTTTCTTTCACAATGAAACATTTTCCACACTCGGAGCAGGAAAAAGGACGCTCATGTGTATGAATTCTCTGGTGTCTAAGAAGGCCTCCCTTTCTCTGTGAAACATTTTCCGCACTCGGAACAGGAAAACGGACGCTCTCCCGTGTGAATTCTCTGGTGTATTAGCAGGATTCTTTTCTGACTAAAGCATTTTCCGCACTCTGAACAGGAAAAAGGACGCTCTTGTGTATGAGTTTTCTGGTGTCTAATTAGGCCTCCTTTCTCTGTGAAACATTTCCCACACTCTGAACAGGAAAAAGGACGCTCACCTTTGTGAATTCTCTGGTGTGTAAGGAGGATATTTTTCTGAGTGAAACATTTTCCGCACTCTAAACAGGAAAAAGGACGCTCGCCTGTGTGAGTTCTCTGATGTGTAACAAGTTTTTCTTTCTTAGTGAAGCCTTTCCCACACACTCTACACAGAGAAAAGGACGCTCACCTGTGTGAATTCTCTGGTGTGTAATAAGTTTTTCTTTCTTAGTGAAGCCTTTCCCACACTCTAAACAGAGAAAAGGACGTTCACCTGTGTGGATTCTCTGGTGTATATCAAGTTTTCCTTTCCTACTGAAACATTTCCCACACTCTGAACAGGAAAATGGATGTTCATTTATGTCCTTTGTCTGGTGTGTAGGACATTTTCTTTTCTTAGTAGAAAACTTCCCATACTCCAAAGAGGAAGAAGGATGTTCATGTGTGTGAGATCTCTGGTGTCTAAGAAGTGCTCTGTTGTCAGTGAAACATTTCCCGCACTCCAAACAGGCCAATGAATTGTCTACTGTATGAACTCCTTCATGGTACAAAGAAGTCTCATTGGGATTAGATGGATCTGTTGGTCTATCCACATTGTGAGATATTATATGCATATCGGACATCATATTAGGTGAATGATCAGAGGATTCCTCAGGGTTAGAGGGATCCATTGATGTTGCCAAACAGTAAGATCTGTGATGTATTATTTGACCAAAGGAATTTGTTCTTGGAGAACGTTGTTCTGTCCCGTTATCTTGTTCATCATCTGGAAACAACATAAGATCTCCCTCTGAGGTATCCACACTCCGTACACAGAGTCCATCTGTTGGAAAGAAAGGTTTAAAAAAGGGTTTGAAGAATTCTTCCAGTCTTGTATTCAGGAGTCAAACATTTGATGTCACTTTTACCAACTTCACAGACCTGTGTCATCGTATTAGGTGCAGATGGAGATGGACCTTTCATATGGTGTCCAGTATCTCCTCCTCATTTGTTGGGAAACATGACGTTATATTGAGGAATGGAGATGGACCTTTCATATGGTGTCCAGTATCTCCTCCTCATTTGTTGGGAACATGACGTTATATTGAGGAATGGAGATGGACCTTTCATATGGTGTCCAGTATCTCCTCCTCATTTGTTGGGAACATGACGTTATATTGAGGAATGGAGATGGACCTTTCATATGGTGTCCAGTATCTCCTCATTTGTTGGGAACATGACATTATATTGAGGAATGGAGATGGACCTTCCATATGGTGTCCAGTATCTCCTCCTCATTTGTTGGGAACATGACGTTATATTAAGGAATGGAGATGGACCTTTCATATGGTGTACAGTATAAAGTATCTACCTCATTTGCTGGTTACATTGGGCAGTATGGTAAATACAAAGACTACAGGGGGAGACTGGAGATTTCTATATCATATGGCCCACAACACCTCTACCACATTTTTTGGGAATGTTAGGTTGTGGGGTAGGTACTTCAATGATGTTCTGTCTACAGTTAGGGTTTATTAATCCTTTCCTTAGTGAAGGATGTGAAGTTCTTAAACATGGGCAGCACATTCTGTGTGTTTCTAAATACAGAAAGGATTCTTTGCAGAAGAGCTTTAAAACCTTTGAATAGGATGTCGCAGGCAATGGTTTTTACCGATTTACTAGTGCATCTCAGAAAAAATAAGACTAATTTTTTGTCGGAAAAAACATGGTAGAATGTTGAATCGGGGAGTTCTACGATTGCCATTTGAGATCAGGAAAAAATCCTCTTAATGTTTCAGAAAATGCTGCAAAGCTTTATATGGGTTACTGCCTTCAATTTAAAGATTTTTTAACCTATTAAATCGTATACTTAAAAGTAAAATAAAAATGTGAACTGTTTCTGCATTTCGTGTTTGTGACTTACTTGTGTCCATATGTAGAGAAGATTCCTCCTGCTTACTTTTCACAACCATCTCCCCCTCCTCCATAGACTGCTGATCTCCACTCACCAACGTCTCTTCTTCTTCCTCTTTAACCTCAACTTTGATGTATTTCAGTTCTTCACCCTAAACCCCAAAGAGGATAGAATAAATTTATACAGAGGAACACAAAGTTACATAGAAGAATGTCATCTCATGGCTAGGAGTACATTTTAGGTCTACATGCTCAGTCCCACCTACCTGATGATGGTGAGGGATGGTGTGATATTCCTGTGTTAGAATCCCGGGAATACAGAGGACAGGGACATCTCTCTGGTGGGTTCCCATTACTGGATCCATCTGTAGGAAACACACACACTGACTGAATCCATTGTTTCTATGTGTTTATCAGATGATGGGGGATCTAGGTGGAGCCTCCGTACTGCTCTCTCCTTTACAATAAAGTCTCCTCTTACCCGGTGATGTGAGGGGCGGCTGATTCTCCATCATGACGTCCTTGTAGAGATCACATTACTTGTTGTGAAGGTTCATAGATCCTCAATTGTCAATCTACAGTACATACATGAACAGTTTCTATATTCAGTGTTGATTACACACCTGGGTTAATATCTAAAGAGGGTTCTTCTTGTTTGATTGTCACCATCATCCCTACTTCCTCTGTAGACTCCTCATAACTCACAGTCTCTTCTTCCTCTTTAACCTCAACTTTCACATACATCTGTTCTTTGTGCTAATCCAATAAAAGGAAAATATCTTTAAATTTTGAGGACCAATAAGATTAGAGAATAGTATAATCTTACACAGTTTAGAGTCACTTTTGTGTTCTATTCATCTACCTGATGATGGTGGGGGATGGTGTGACCTTCCTGTGTGGAATCCCGGGAATACAGAGGACGGGGACATCTCTGTGGTGGGTTCCCATTACTGGACCCATCTGCCAGATGATGGTGAGGGATGGTGTGACCTTCCTGTGTGGAATCCCGGGAATACAGAGGACGGGGACATCTCTGTGGTGAGTTCCCATGACTGGATCCATCTGTAGGAAACACACACTGACTGAATCCATTGTTTCTATGTGTTTATCAGATGATGGGGGATCTAGGTGGACCCTCCGTACTGCTCTCTCCTTTACAATAAAGTCTCCTCTTACCCGGTGATGTGAGGGGCGGCTGATTGTCCATCATGACGTCCTTGTAGAGGTCCTTGTGTCCTTCTAAATACTCCTCCTCAGAGTCACTGACATCCTGACACCTTATAGGAACCTGACACACACAATGATACAGTCACCATCCAGACACATCCCTTGTCTGTTACTGGAGAATGTCCCAGAATTCCCGGCACTGCTCACCTCTCCTGTCAGCAGATCAATGATCTTCTTGGTGACTTCTAGAATCTTTTTCTTGGTGTTTCGTTTAAGGGTTTGCAAGGGAAGTGAAGAAACATTTTATGGGGTTCTGTCGTTCTTTCAGTTTTGTGAGCAAGTTGTTATTTGTATTATTCTCAACAGATGTCTTCTTAACTAGCACACTGTCCTGTATTATACAGAAACACATATATTATCATGAATATAATGATCTTTTATAATAGAGATAAGAGTGATGTCATTTGACCTCCGAGAAGCCTCCTCACCTCTCCGGTCAGCAGGTAGATGATCTCCAGGGTGAGGTCCAATAGCCTCTCCTCCAAGCTAATTGTATTGTTTTCTTTTTTTACATAACTGAATGGCGGCTGATTGTCCATCATGACGTCCTTGTAGAGATCCTTGTGTCCTTCTAAATACTCCCACTCCTCCATGGAGAAATAGACAGTGACACCCTGACACCTTATAGGAACCTGACACACACAATGATACAGTCACCATCCAGACACATCCCTTGTCTGTTACTGGAGAATGTCCCAGAATTCCCGGCACTGCTCACCTCTCCTGTCAGCAGCTCAATGATCTTCTGGGTGACTTCTTAGATGTAGAACATTAAATCCAGAATTTAGCTCTAACACACAAGCCAGATCTATGGGCTCCAGGAACTAGAGTTCCAGGACAGTCCTGCTGGACCTGGGACAGTTGGAGAATCAACAACCCTGAAAAATAAATACATGATTGTATATTTAAAATGTATCCAGTCTGTAAACCAGAGGCTCTAGATGGACGGTTGGATAAATGGTTCTATATTTAGGATGTATCCGGTCTATAAACCAGAGGCTCCGGATGGACGGTTGGATAAATGGTTCTATATTTAGGATGTACCCGGTCTATAAACCAGAGGCTCCGGATGGACGGTTGGATAAATGGTTCTATATTTAGGACGTATCCGGTCTATAAACTAGAGGCTCCGGATGGACGGTTGGATAAATGGCTCTATATTTAGGATGTACCCGGTCTATAAACCATAGGCTCCGGATGGACGGTTGGATAAATGGTTCTATATTTAGGACGTATCCGGTCTATAAACCAGAGGCTCTGGATGGACGGTTGGATAAATGGTTCTATATTTAGCACGTATCCGGTCTATAAACCAGAGGCTCCGGATGGACGGTTGGATAAATGGTTCTATATTTAGGACGTATCCGGTCTATAAACCAGAGGCTCCGGATGGACGGTTGGATAAATGGTTCTATATTTAGGATGTATCCGGTCTATAAACCAGAGGCTCTGGATGGACGGTTGGATAAATGGTTCTATATTTAGGATGTATCCGGTCTATAAACCAGAGGCTCCGGATGGACGGTTGGATAAATGGTTCTATATTTAGGATGTACCCGGTCTATAAACCAGAGGCTCCGGATGGACGGTTGGATAAATGGTTCTATATTTAGGACGTATCCGGTCTATAAACCAGAGGCTCTGGATGGACGGTTGGATAAATGGTTCTATATTTAGGATGTATCCGGTCTATAAACCAGAGGCTCTGGATGGACGGTTGGATAAATGGTTCTATATTTAGGATGTATCTGGTGTAAATATAAAATAATATTTTATTACCTCCTCTGATGCCAGTTTCTACAATGTCTCCTTTCTTCTTCCTTCTGACTCACCTCCCACCCGGAACTTCCTGTCTGAAAATTACATCACTTCCTGTCTGTTCGTTTCAATCACCATAAGTAAGATCATCACCTTGCTGCGAGTATAAAAACTGCATTCTATGTTTTCCATCACTGAGAGCTGAGTTGCGGCAGATTCCTGTTATATTATATACATCAATAACCATTGTAACATTAATCATTGTCCTCATATGTTAAAGTGGAACTGCTTGCATCTGAGCACCACAAGCCAAAAATGCTATATAATTAATCTTTAATATTCAAAACAAACTCCCCCCCCCCATCCATCCATTTCTCCAGGCTTTATTTTGTTAAATCATTTTGAAAAACCACCTGGCATTTCTGGCAGGGGCCATCTTAAATAAGGGCAGATGATTCATGTAGCAGTTACATCCTGGAATCCATCTGTCCTTAGCTCAGACATTGGCTGAACAGAGAACCAACTGTCACAGATTCACCCACACGCCACACCCACAGTGACTAGCTAACCGAGGCGCGCATGTGCGGCCATGACTTGGGGTAAGAGGGAATAAGGGGAACTTAACTTTGAATATATAAAACCGTATATAAGACCAGCTGTGATATACTTTCACAGCCCGCACTACCTCTTGGCCACCACCGGAGGGAGACTCCACTCCAATCCAGCTGGTCGACCACACACACTGGCAGATACAAATCTCACATAGAATCTGGTGCACTAATTAGAGTTGAGGAGCAGCTTAGCAATCAAACACCATTCTATGATCCCTCCAGCTATCCTACAAGCCAGAACCCTGGTGTTAATCACTCTTCCACTGTCCTCACACCCCCACACCAGACACACCACAAACGGTAGCTGGCCACCACCCAACAGTTTATCCACAGAACGGTCTATTGGGACACCACACACATACAGATCTCCATCTTGCAGATCTGTTACCTTTTACAATCTGCACGCAATCTGCCAACACGCAGTGCAATTGCATACAGATTAGCAATGAGCTTGACCGATCATATAAAGGCACTAACATACAATACAATCTAATCTCTACGGAGATATGAGCCCGTGCTTAAATACACTGAAGTCACTTATTAATTTTAAGATTTAATATCCCGAGAGTGGGCAGTGCATAAAATATGTACAAAGTATAAAAAGTTACAGAAAATACAAAAAATACAAGAAGACACACATAGACTATTCACTATAAAATTAAAGGGAATAAAAAACCAAGATAAAACTTTTACTAAGACCTATCCTGCAACTGGAGCAAGTCAGGGAGAGTCAGCAATCCGTCAGTCAAATCGAACTGGTTCCATACGAATCACAATGTCTCAATGTCAGAGTCCTCAATTTATGGGGATATGGACGTAGGCGGGACATTAGTTCTTGGCAAGTTGACCCTGGGGGATTTTCCTGTACCCGCCCACAGGCTGTTCTGGGTGCTGAACTGCCCAAAGTCAATTGGACCAAGACCGGCTTGAATCACCAAGTCGGGGACTGAATTTCCAACACCAGTGCATCAGTCCGATCGCGACAGTACCAATTACTGTTCCGCTATCGCACTGCAGCGCCACATAACCATTTTCTGCATTTTCCTGGCATTCTGCATAGCCCACAAATATAGTTTGTATATGCCGATGTGGCCCACAGAATGCCCCATCAGAAGGAAGTATTTTCATCTCTCTGCAACTAATATTTTAGCTTTTATGAGGGATAAAACATACTCCTTTGATCTATGTATATTCTTTTAGAGCTCCCTAGACAGGTCGGAGACCCCCCTGGTGTCTTTTCAGCTTCAGGAAGATGGCAAAGTCTGAATACGTATAGGTGACAACATCTTATTAGCACCCATGTGCCACTTCCAGAGGAAGCTAGTCCCTTCAGATGCTAATTGAAGACCATCTGTCTCTGAATACCTTATTTCTTTAATGACAAGGACTGAAACTACATTTAGGATTACATTGTCATATTTTCTACAGGTCACATCTTATCTACTCAAATCTGTACATTTATGTCACTTTTATGTCACACTGCCGACAATGACTAGCTGGATGCACAGCAAAAAAGTGAAACTGTAAAATTTTTGAAATGTTGGCAACTGTTGGAGGACAGAGGGGCAGTGGTGCTCAAAGGGAGACTGAATACCTTGCTCATGCAGTCCTGCGCTTTAGGCTGCTGAGGAGCTTCTCTGATGCTGAGGTTGGGGGTCTTCCTGTTTGCTGCAGGGTAAGTCCTCATGCACACGGGACGTTTTTACAGCGGCTGTTTTTGGCTTTTGATGGGTTTTTCTACAGCCAGTAAACTCCCCAGCATGTTTTCCTGTGTGTCCACGCACACATAGACTGTAATCAGCGTTTTTTGGCAGGGGCGTTTTTTGGCTGGTAAAAAACCCCCCAGAGCTAGTGGGTTTCTAGAGGAGTTTTTTAGCTGTAAAAATGCTCTAACGCTAAAAAAGCAGTAAATAGCAGCAAACCAGCGTTTTTGGACTTTTTTTAATTTAAGATTGTAAGCTTCAAGGATCAGGGCCCTTCTAACCCTCTTGTATTGAACTGTATTGTTGCTGTATTGTCTCCCGTTATATTGTAGCGCTGAGCAAACTGTTGGTGCCATAAATCCTATATAATAATAATAAAAAAAAAAAAACTTAAAAACCGCAAACACGAAAAAACAGCTAAACGCACATTTTTAACATGACTTTACACAGCTAACATTATTATTATACAGTATTTATAAAGCACCAACAGTTCGCTCAGCGCTGTACATTACAATGGGAGACAATACATGAGACAGTACAACAACAATACAATGCGATACACGAGGGGTTCGAGGGCCCTGGGAGCTTACAATCTGGGGGGGGGATAGTTGTACAGGAGGAAAAGCTGTGGGGGATGGAGTGGTAGGAGGAGTGGAGGAGATCAGCACTTAGCAGGGGGCTGGGTAGGCTTCCCTGAAGAGGTGGGTTTTCAGGGTGCGCCTAAAAGAGAGGAGAGTAGGTGATTGCCA